TTATAGATGCAACTCAGGCCTAGTTAGGAACATCTGGACCTGGTTGCACTTTAAATGCCATTATTTAAACCACCCATACTCATGTTAATTAATGTGACACAACAGTAAGAAAATCAATGTAGATGAGTGTATATGCTGATAAATCATGCTTATGAGCACCATATAAATTACTGGCTATTGCTAAATCACATTTAAAAACTCAATAGGTTTAACTACACGAACACTATAGGAGACAAGTCTGAAATTGCTCGAATAAAAATTACACACACTGTGGAGAAGGGTGTAATCATAACATAATATAAGCCTAGAGGCTCAAAGGCTATATTTAATATTAAAGGTTTTGATATAATGAGAAAACTTAAATACAGACTAATTAATTAGTGGTACTAGATTACAGTTCCTAGATTAAGTCGCTAGTACATCTAGATCTAACACTAATGTTAGACCTGTTATTTCCATTTTTTTAGTCATAGGTTTGAATCTAGATGCAACTATAATAACAAATTTAGCATTATACATCTAAACTAGACCTTAGATTTGGGTGCATAGATTGAAAGCACCTTGTATTGAATCCACCCAGTTCTAGATATAACCTTGCCACGTCAATTCTAGATTTAGATTTATTAGGCCTAACTTTTAGAACAAATGTTATATCTAGATCTATTAACTTAGTCATTAGATCTGTCCCAGTGCAATGCCTAATTTAATAGTTAGTATAGGTCTAAGTATACCTATAATATAGGCTACAATTTGTATGATGATGGACCTAGGGTCTAGAAATAAAGTTATAACTGCAATTAGACCTAAAGTCTAGTACATTAGTTGGTGTAAGACATGATTTACAATCAGCCAATACAATTACAAACCACGACATTAGGCCTATAATGTTTACTAGATCTAGGCCTTGCCTGTTGCATATATTGCTAATCTTGCACACCAGTTAATATGTTACATCAATCTTGTAGTTTCTTTTTGTTGAACAAACACTTGATTGTACATTGTAATCTAGGGCTTGTATTTGATCTACAGATAAATGATGGAATAGTGTAATTTACTTCTGTACGTCAATTCGGTCTCACTGTATTTCAGTGTGCGCTTTTAAAAAGTTAAAACTGCAAGCGTAATACACACAAATAAGGTAACACTGTGTCGTATTTTACTTAACGTAGGGCAGTTGCGCTATATCCTAGAGAAGGGCATAATTATTAATTAATAGGCATTATGGGTCAGAGGAAATTTTGCGCCCCTTCACACATGCGCCCGGGGGCGACTGCCCCCTCTTGCTACGCCACTGTTTCATGGACTTTAAAAGTTAATTGTGTTGCACTGTTGGTTTCACTCAGAGCTCCTTATATCATCCACTGCAAAAAGTAATTCTTGAACATTTCAGTCATGCTAAGAGCTACTCAGCAATAGCATATAGTAAAATCTACATCTTTATTCCTTAAGTTACATCACATTTTGAAATGTGAATAATAGTGTGATTACTTCCTAACAATTTAGTGTAGAATATCCTGCTTGTACAATAAAATTTGGGATCAACATTATTCATGCCTGTTTTCCTATTATTTCAAAAGTGAATGTTGAGCTTTGCCTGTGTGTGCAGCTTTTCAAACTGGAGACAGACAAATGCTCGGACAGACACCATGGTTCACAATATATACAAGATATTTCAGGTTCATGTGCTGCCCTTTTAACTACTTCTTCCATTATCTTCAACTTTGTGGCCATGATTATGTATTAACACCCAGCATCCCAATTTCCATTATAACAACTCCTCACAACAAATCTTATGAACTTTTCAAAGACTTGCATTATATTGTTACGACAACGCAGGTCACGTGACGCTTGTAGCACGCCACTTCCTTCTCGAACCTTCATGAAATGTCGGGAGACTACTAGATTGGGGTAGTCGTATATATATATATATACAAGACCAGCCAAGAAGCAACGTAAGGGAATGTGTATAATTAAACTGAGTATTGTTGAGTCGAGCACTTGAGACGTTCATTGAGAATTATAGCGTTTGTTATAGCGCGACTGTTGAAATTAAGTGTACCGCAACGATATTCAGAAAGAATAAACCATTTTAATTTAAGAAAGGACTTGCATCGGTAAAGTTTCTTCGGAAAGAATTTTTACGGAAAATTAACTAACGAACGGAGACGTAACAAATTGGTGTCAGAGAGTGGGACGGAAAAAAAAAATGGAAACGAGAAGCGGCAAATCAAACTACAGCTTAGCAGATTTGATGGCAGCAATACAAGAACAGCAAAATAAACAAGAAGAACGGGAAAAGAAACAAGAAGAACGAGAAAAGAAACAAGAAGAGAGATTACAGCAGTTGTTGGAGGAAAAAGAAAAGAAACAAGAAGAACGAGAAAATAAACAAGAAGAGAGATTACAGCAGTGGTTGGAGGAAAAAGAAAAGAAACAAGAAGAGAGACAACAGCAGTTGCAAGAAAACCTGCAACAGTGGCAGCTCAAACAGCAAAATAAACAAGAAGAAAGATTACAGCAGTTGTTGGAGGAAAAAGAAAAGAAACAAGAAGAGAGATTACAACAGTGGCAAGAAG